CCCCCCCGCCCAAGGGATGTCAGCTTTCACGAGCCCCAGCTCTGATGAACCTGTCGACCGGCGCGTGCCCAAGGGTGCCCGCTCCAAACTGGCATCAGGAGCCCATAGCACAGTACTGGTGTCGGGGAGGCAGGCAGGACGCTCAGAGACGTGAGCATCACCCGGCCCCTTAGGGCTCCCAGGGGGCCCAGGCTGGTCCCTGAAAACTCAGCAAGCTGGACCTTCCTCCTCCAGTCTGGAACCTGTCACCTGTGTGTCGCCTCCCAGCCCCTGTGTGTCTCCGCCCCGCGTCACCCACTCTCGCTCCTTTCCTGTTTAAACGTCCTCTCTTCCTTTGCCCTCTCTGGCTCGTTGCTCTGTGGGGACGGAGGGGAGGGGGGAAGCGAGGTGGGTGTCAGACTGTCTCTCTGACCTCCCCGCCCCCACCCTGAGCCCCACGTGTTGGCCCTGGGGGGGTTAGGGGCGAACGTTGGACTCACGCACGTCAGAATCAGGAGCCGGGGTGGGGATGCTGCGGCAGGGGGTCAGATCGTGACTCAGACGCACTGGGGGGCTGAAAGGCACCTTGTAGGCCACGGAAAGTGAGCGAGTGTCCTGGGGGGCCATCCAGGCGGGGGCCAGGGCTCGTCTCTTAGGCCCCCTTTGGAAAGCCCATCAGCAGCCTGCAGGTCAGGGAGGGAAGGACTCCACCCCTCCTGCCCAGAGTCGTGCCTGGCCAGTGCAGCCACCGGGGGCCTGCCCGGGGCGCCAGGGAGAGCAGCTGCTGCTGTAACCAGCGAGTCGGGTTAGGCCAGTGCACCCTCTAGGGAGCTCCTCCCCAGAGGCCCACACCTGCCCTGGGCAGGGTGCGAGCTCCATGCAGTGGGAGTAGGCAAGGGAGGCGGAAGGCAAGCACCTTGCACTCTCCAAGCCCAGTGGGTGGAGGGGGCACTGCACACGCACCCCCCCCCACCCGCAAATCATTTGGCCTGATGCTCCGGGGGCGTTCATTAACATCAGCCCGCGTGAGTCCCAAACGTCTCTGGGGCTATCCGGCAGGGGGTGGGGCCTGGGGACCCTGCCAGGCAGAGAGCTGCCAACTCACTGCTTCCTTGACACAAATATAGGTGAGTCTATTTTTCCACATGCCGGCTGGTCCGTCTGCCGGGCGGAGCCCCAGGCCTGTTGGCTGCTCACGGCAGGGGGAGCTGGTGAAATTAGTGCAGGGAAACCCACAGGTCACTATTCACACACATCCCCTGCCTCTCATTTCTATACCCCAGTATTGTCCCTCCTCCGCACTGCCCTGCGATCCCCTGCCAGCCGTTCTCTCCTCCGGGCACTAGTGCCAGCCAGCACAGGGAAGGATCGCTTTCAAGCCTCTTTGCCATTTGTTCTCTCTCTTGTGCGCTGCAGGGCACCCAGATGATCTTCAATGCGGCCAAGGAGCTGGGGCAGCTGTCCAAACTGAAGGTAAAAGGAATGGGACAGCGTGGGTCTAGTTAATCGCTGGGTGAGGCTGCTCCTCCCCAGAGGTCAATTAGCCAGTGATTGTAACACCGGGATATAGGAGTAGCGCCTGGAAGTCTCTTTAGCTTATCAGAGACGGCGTTAATATAAAGCAAGAAACCAGGCTAATTAGGCACCATTAAAAGGATCCGGTTTAGTAACTGAGACATCAGTCACCTGTCATCCCTAAAGCATCAATCACCTGTCACCCCAGCTTTGTGAGGGAGCGGGGGGAGGAGGCAGGCATGCCGTCCGGGCTCTGCCTGGCTGGGAACTGGCGTGATACAGCCTTGGCTGTCACTGAGTGACTCGTTCGTTTCAGGACCACATGGTGCGTGAGGAGGCCAAGAGCCTGACCCCCAAGCAGTGCGCCGTGGTGGAGCTGGCCCTGGACACCATCAAGGTAAATCTGTGCCGTCTCCCTTGCACCTGGCCGGCTGCCTGCCCACCTTTCCCTCCTGCTAACGGGTGGGATAAATGCAGTCTGGCGAAGCCCCCGTCTCTGGGAGTGGCGACATAAGAGGTGCCCGCACCATCCAGCCAGGGCACTGCAGCAGAATGCCCCATCTGCCCACGACAGCACCGTGGCACGGGCGAGAAGCGGAGACCTCCCTGCTGGGGTGTTCTGGGACTGTGCCCACAGTGGATTGCTCACCATGCTGGTTCCTCGGGTGGCTGTCCAGCCGTGCCCACCCGTGCCCAGAAACCCCACATGGCTCCCTCCTGACCCGGTCTCCTCCGTCTTCTCCCCCAGCAATATTTCCATGCGGGAGGAGTGGGGCTGAAGAAAACCTTCCTGGAGAAGAGCCCCGACCTGCAGTCGCTGCGTTACGCCCTGTCTCTGTACACGCAGGCCACCGACCTGCTCATCAAAACCTTCGTGCAGACCCAGTCGTCTCAGGGTAAGAGACACCACCGCCCCCTTCACACAGCGCCCGCCAAGGGCTGCCACAGCCGCTGCGTCCACCTGCTTGACTGGTGTCCTGGGTACCTCCACCCAATGTCTTGGGTGCATCCGGGATGGGGGCACCTGCCCAGCCCAGTGCACTGGGTGCCACCCGGCGGGCCGGGCATGCCTGTGGGGAGGGCACCTGCTGTGGGTGCATCTTGCTCTTCCTCGGGTAGCAGTGAAATAGGACTCGAGCTGCAATGGGGCATCAGCGCACAAAGGACGCAGCCCTTCCGCGGCCCTGCCTGGGGTGCTGGAGAGTTGGTGGGCAGGGGGCATCGGTGGCGGGGCATCTTTGTCCCTGGCACTGCTATGCCACCCGCTAGGGAGAGGGGCCGAGAGCCCCCAGGCCAGTAGCCTGGCCCCTGTTCTAAGTGCTACATGCACCTACGGAGCACACGCAGCAGGGGAATCTGGGGGGGCCGTGCAAAGGGATCCTGCAGGACTCCCAGGAATAGCAGCTGTGCTGGCTGCGTCCTGCATGCCCGGGCTCCACGCCCAGGGGAACCAACAGCCGGGGCATCGCTGGGGCAGTAGGGGGCCTTCCCAAGGTAGCCACTGGTTTTGGTGCCGCAGCTTTTGGGAGCTCAGCCTGGTGCCTGATTGTCAGAGGCACCCAGCCCCCCAGCTCCTTTTGGCGTTATGGGCCACCAGCACCCCCAAAAATCAGGCCCCGGGTGCCTCCAGCTAGGCGCTCCAACTCACTGACCACTTCCAAAAATGTTTAAATAAAATTTTCAGCATGCCCTAGGAGCACTGGGGGATGGACCCCGTGTGCAGGGCCCAGCTCGGAAGGGGTTAACCCTGCTGTGTCACTGGGAGCTCCACATGCAGTCCCTCTCCCAGGCCACAGCCACCAGCACTGGTTCCTGCCTCGCATCCAGGCCTGTTCCGCTTCAGGTTAGCACAGGGAGCTCCCCCTGGCCTGGACCATTGGGGGAGGGGAAACCGAGTCAGGGACGGGCCTCTCCAGACAGCAGAAGGAATTCCAGTGCTGAACAGCGCAGGCAGGCCCTCCAGTGTGTGCCATTGCTCCGTCCGCATGGGCACCGGCCAGGCGCTGCAGGGGCTGGGGGGAGCCCTGACAGGCGTCGTGGGGAGTTTGTCCTGTCTGTGCCTCCCGTCTGGTGGCCGAGCGGGGTGTGCAGAAGGGGCTGTGCTGGGAGATAGTAATGCTGCCTGCTCCCCTTGGCAAGGGCCATGTACATCCACAGGGCTCCAGTGCCTCGTTACTGGTGGTGGATCGTGTGATTCATTTGCTAGTTGGACAGGTGTCCACAGAACCGCCCTCCCAATCGGTGCTAATTAGCCCCCAGCCGGCAGTAACGACCTGTACGAAAGCACCAGGGATCCGGGAGTAACAATGCAGTGGAAAAAAACCCCTCCCAGCCAGGGCAGTGCCCACGCCTGCTGGCAAATTCCATAGACCGCGGGGGACCCCAGCTGACGCTGGCCCCAAATTGCTCAGACCCTCCTCCTGGAGGCGTCCTGCTCCCAGCACACCCCCGCCCCCCGCTGTCTAACACAATGTCGCTGTAACGTCTTGTTTTGGATTCTCTAGCTGCAGCTGGCGCCTGTCTGCGAGATCTGATCTCTTTCTCTGTTGTTTTTCCTCCCTATTTTTCAATGTTTCCCCTTTGCCTTCCCTTACACGTGCTCTTTCTCTCTCTCCTTTCTCTCTCTTCCCTGTCTCTCTCCTTTTTACCTTTTTTACTAGTCCATGGTGGAAAAGGTATTAGGTTTACCCTTAGTGAAGAAATTTATCCTGAGAAGGGTACGTCTAACACTTCCGAACCCTGATGCACCCGTCCTGAGCACCCCCACCTCCAACCGGCCAGAGCTAGTAACAGTCCCTCCAACCCCGATTGGGGCGCAAAGGCCTGGAGAGCTGGGAGGATGGGGAGGGGGCGTCACGTGGCTTACGGGGGCCTGTTCATTCAGGGCTGGGGAATGCCTGCTCTAAAAGCCGC